GCTGCCTTCAAATGCTAAACATATATCTGCTCGTAAAGAACACAAAGCAAAGGGTTTGACCGCCATGGACGATCATGCTTTCATTCAGCAAAATTCCAAAATAATTACTAAGAATTTTGAAGAAACTAGCAGCGCAGGAACAGCACAAATCAAACACGAACTTCCAGAACACTTTCAGAACGCCGTTTTCCTGATACTGTCGAATCTGCAGCCAATTCTATCTTGGTCCTCAATGAATCGCGGTCGATACTCTTTTCAACAATATTCACAGCCACACTTTGGCTTCCGTAATCGATCGACCTCTGTAAGAGAGACTGTTATCTGTCTCCGATCTATACAGTTGAGGGCTGTATGACGGCCTGGCGATGCACCCACCCTTCGAATGCGGCAGTTCTCGGAAAAAATCCACCCGGCAGCGTGTGAGACCAGAAATCCCACTAGTTTTGGAATAAGCATAAGTGGGGCCAAGGTCCTAATCTGGTGAATGGCCCATTCACCAGATAAAGACCTTGAAACCATCAAATCATAGAATCAAATGTGAAAGTCTTAGGCGAATTTGAAGCCAAACATGAGCTTTACTCATTGTTCAGTAAATGAATTCGCTGAAGTCACCATGCCCACCCTGTTGTCGTGAAAATGAGCGCCATGATAAGTCATTAGTCAAACATCCTGTCCTATCAGTGATACAAGATGAACGAAGCGAACCAGAACCACTCCTTCTTTTTCACAGTTCCTTTGCGCCACAGTAAACTGATAAGACACCTTTTGTTCCGCATTAGGACCAGGAAAAGGGAGGGAAGCCCGAGAGAGGAGATCAGCGCATTATATCCCGCCGAACAGCCTTCAATTAGTTTTGTTTAATCAAAAAGTGGTGTAGAAAAGACAAGGTGATCGTTGGAACTGCGAAAGTAATTTTGAAAAAGGGTGATACCTAAAATACCTTGTGAGATACCTAAAACAGTTTCTAGGATAACAAAATGGTACAATACCATCATTTCTTCATTAATGTCATTTTTAATTTCGACGCCAGTCTCGGCAAAGATGCAGTTCATGCTACGTGAAGGTTATAAATGTTCATGTGTTTTTCCCGTACCGCACTAACTTCCTGCTAGTAGGCTAGGTTCTTAAAGGGGTTGACATTATTTCAGGGCTGTATTTGCAACCAGAGAACCTTGGGGCATAACTTCAGTTCGGGGGGTTACTCCATTGTTTCTCCAATACTTAAGATAAGAGCGGGAGCGGTAATGACGCATAATCCACACATTCAAGGTATACTTCTGAAAAATACCGGTCTAGTGTGAGGAGAAACCCTGAAATACTCTGACATGACAAATCCGCCTGCCATGTCCAAGGGAACGGCACTGGACCAGAAGACTACCTCTGACCTAGGCATAAAAGTGGTGGAGCTTCCAGGGTGGATCCTGTGCAGAACTTGCTGCAGAAAGTGGACCTGATAAGTAGGACATACACCAATCCTTATCGAAAAGAATGCTTGAAGTAAGTTGGTCACTCAGTATCTTATCCATGGTGTTGTACAGCCTAGATGAGTACTCTAAGTACTTTTTTTACTCATGATAGCAGATTGTCCCCTCCCTCCCCTGAATTGGGTTTTCACGAATCCTGCGTGTGGTATAGAATAAAGGCATCCACGTCTGTCAGGGCGTGCGACGACCATTCAAAGCGACCTGTCGGGATCAAATTCTGAATCAATCACTCAAGACGGATACCAGTGGTAACTTCCAAGGAATTATTCACTCTAAATCGTTATAGAATTCGTACAGTTGTGACATTATGTATGCGAATATAATCAATGAAAGCCTCGGTTTTTCGAAGTTCTGTATAGCCACCATATGGTCCAAAGCCCATTTAGAACGAATGACGAATGCGTGGCCTGTCTTGAATCGCTCCAAAAGGATGTGAGTGTTCGCACTCTTTGAGGCTTTAAAAGTTTATTACCGAAAATAGAACGCTAAAGTAATAAAAAATATAAATGCATAGATATAAATGTATAAATATAAAATATAAACATATAAATATTAAAAACAAAATGAGAGCACAATCTTAAGAGGCTTAGGGATGAACTACACCACGGATTGTTTCGATGATTCGAAACTGTTCGCAATGGCCCAGCCTTCGCTTTCTTCTTTCAGACTGATAATGATCGATGATCTGATTCAAACATGGCAATGCGTATATACTGAAAGAACTAAAAATCTGCCCTTATTTTGAGTTCCATGTAGATAACAAATCCGTATCCAAAACCTCCGCGATTCTGAACCAATGGCGAAAATGTGGCGCATCTCGAAAGAGTTTGAGCGCGTTTGTTTGTTTTGTCGTTCATTTTGTTTAATCACCTTATCTGAGGCACGCGCTTCAAATAGTGGCCCATTCTTTTTTATATTCAGCATTTTTTAAATTCAGCTTATTTTATCCAAGACTGCCTTGCAAGCAGTAATCGAGTTTGAAATTCTGTTACCGTATTCAACTCTGCGTCATGTCTCGGGATTTTCTCACCTCTCGTGGCCCATTCGGAACAAAAAGCTGTCTTATGTGCCTTTTACAACGCATTGGAGCCGTGAAAGGAACGGAGTGGTTCGAGTTCGCTTCTCTTATCTCGTGTCACTGATAGAACAACCTGCTGAGCTTTCCACTGCTTTGATGCCTAATAAAACGCTAACTTCTACAATTCTTCATCGCTCAATTTCACGGCCACATCAGCAACTCCGTGGCAGATCGGTTTTTGAACAAATCCTTCCGAAGTTTATCTCTCGCGAATCTCCATTATAGCAGCGAATTATTTTCGTTCATTTTTTTACTTACTAGACTACTTTTAGCACAAAAAATTTGCACTAGAACAGAAGGTGTAAGATAATCTACAACACTACCTTCTAATGTTTATTCAGTGGTACCATAGACGTCAAAAACCATCAATTTGCATGAGTTATGGAAGAAATGATCGGAGTTACATAGGACTTCAAGCTTGTAGATAGCCTTGATTATGGAAGATCTATGAAATAACGAACTAATCAATTGAAATGCGAAAATGGCTAATTGTTGCAGTGGACATCACAAGCATTTTTCCTCGATTGCTTCAGCAAAACAATACCCTATTGTTCACAGAGCTTTATACTGGAAGAATCTTCTACGGAAAACTCTTGCATTGTTTCTCAACAAACATAACATATGTCAGTTGTGATCCGTAGAGAAAAATCACACCTTATGAACAATCGAAGGTAATTCTAGCGAGAGCCAAAGGCGAGGCATGGAAAGAAGTTGGCCTTTGGCCGGCTACGTATCAGGCGACGCAATGAAAGAATCGGGTTAAGCGCGCGATTTCGGAGAGTAGAGACAAAACGATCGATAAAAGGATGGAGTAGCACTTCTACTCCAACCTTTTGTGAGGATGGAGTAGAAGTGTGAGAGTGTGTGTTAGTGCAATAGGACAAAAGGTCAAAAAGTGTCCTAGTGACGAAATTCCGTGAAGCCAGTGGAGCGTTCCCACCGCCAGCATTTGTGACAGATGTCCGGCGGAAATTTGAATGCGTACAAGTCTTTCATTTTTCGAATTTTTTTGTTTTGTTTTATTTGTTTTATTTGTTTTAATTGTTTACCAAATGTAAAGGATGCTATTTTTTGTCCTTTTGTTCTTATCGCGGACAATGGATCTCAAGCCAGTGGTTTATGGTTGAGACAGAATCGTGATTTTTCCGAGAAAGATTAATTTAGATTATGGTACTCTTTTCATTCACATTTTCATGGAAACACGAAGGAAAGAGAATCAACCTAAACAAAAATTAAGTACGGCTCAGAAAATCCTTTTGAAACAAAGACATATCTATTCTTACACAGGGCCACGATGTTCAGAGTTATATATGTGCTATCTCCTAAAATTTCACTCGCAGAAAAATATTCAACAAAACCGTAACATTAGCAATGGCCATTCAAGTACTATCTGGCAGCATGTGGACTGCCATCGTTCCAGAAAACTGGCAGCCCATATGGGCTGCCACCGGAGTGATGTCTTAAATCGCCAACACAGATCTATGTTGCGTCAGCAACTTATATACGCTTGTTCAAGATACATAGATTTCGTGTCGTAGCATTCGATTTTGGTTGCTACCCTCCTGTTTCTGGATGCCCTAGGCGAAATGGAAAATAAACAAATAAATAAACAATAAATATCAACATATCACGAGTATCGACGAACATAACATCGATCAATTGTCATTCCGATGCTCATTATGATAGGATTGTAGCGAAATCTGCTAAGCATTTAGGTCCAAGTCACTTTCCTCACTTTCAGAGTTTGACGACTCTCTACCGACACGATCCGCTACGCGCTATCGCATTGAATTGGTTTTTATAGAGGCAAGACGATGGGAAGTGAGTGATATGACGAATTATTTGAGCGTTTTCTAGCCTTGAAATTTTACTGATAGAAAAGGTTCCATAATATCTATCAACCAATCGTCTATCATAGCCCAAAATGAACGCGTTGACGGCAGCGCGCGTTTCAGCTTCTTGGCCATGTGGGACAGGAGCGATTTGGCGAGCGCAGCCGGGTGTGGTTCACAAGGACAGGAAGCGACTTTTTCACGTTTCGCGCGCGGGAGAATTTTCCAGATCCACCCATGATCAGCGGTGAACCTGAGTTTCCTGCAGCGAAAAATATTCCGCGGGCGGGAACGCGAAAAAGTCGCTTTCTGTCCTAGTGAACCACACCCAGCACGCCGCCCGCCTCATATTGTGTGTGTGTGTGTGTGTGTGTGTGTGGGTGTGTGTGGTGTGTGTGGTGTGTGTGGTGTGTGTGTGATGTCCAATCCTTTTCTGTAGTGTATCGATGACGCTTGGGATATGCAACTGAAGTTGTCCCTCCGTTTGAATCGCGCCATGCTGTCAAGAGCGCTCTTGCACAGTTGAGGTGCGATGCTTTGGATCGCTCTATTGCTAGAAGACGAAGTCAGTTTGGGCCAGGTGCCATACGGTTGAGTACGCAACACTTTCTAGAACCTAACTCCATACGTGAGCCTTCACCACTTCTCAAATTTTATGCTGTAGTTGCACCTCTTTTACAGACTAACGTAAGCGAGCCTCTGCCTCGTTTCACGGATAGCAGCTGATACTTTGAATCGGAACCTCTTCCGGCGGGACGCCACACATGTGTTGCACTGTGGTCTCCTAACATCCCAAATTTACTTTCGTCGCTCCAGATGACGTTGGAGCCTGTGGGGATCTCCCGTTCTGGTGTGCGCGGACTCATTCCATTCCCTATCACTTCACCGTCGGACAACTTCATAGGATTTGAATGTAGTGAAGGCTGACGTATAAGTTAAAGCGATACCCCAGGCAGAATCCGTGTGAGCGGTCCTCTTCGTCCTGTGAGGTAGTGCCCCAGCAGACAATCACGAACGTAACAGTCCCGTGCAACGAAAGCGCCCGAAAAAGGCGCTAGGGTCTTCTAAGCCAAGCTGCACGAGATGCACGGGCCGACTTGTCCGCAGCTGTGGGGTTCGCCGCAGCTGCGAGGCGGGTGTGCATGAAATGAGGGCCGCCCACATTGTTGCTTGTAGGGTCGTTGGGCGTTATTCCGATCAGATGATTCAGCAGTGCGCACAACCGCTGCGCAAAATCTTTTTGTTGTTTTCTTTCTTTAAATCAGCATTATGACCGAATTTCTTCTATCTAAATCACTATTATTGTTATTATTCGTTGTATCATTTTGCAAAACCTTGCATTTTCAAAATCTACTCTTCCAATGGTCTAGCAAAGTGTTAATATCAAGTTCGGAAAACTCGTCCGGTTGCACCTCCCCTTGAAGGCTAGGCGAGATGTTACTGGAAGAGTGGAGGTTCCTGTTTAGGCTTCATCGCGGGTTTTTTTCGCTGTTTCTTCCATTTCCATTCAACAATGCACACTCACATCCGTTATCGATCGCTCTTACCCCGCAAATCCGTGCCTGAGTTGTGCCTTTAATCCTAGAAGGTGTTCCGTATCCGACTGTATGGCACCTGAACGAACTGATTTCGTCTTCTAGCAATAGAGCGATCTAAAGCATCGCACCTCGACTAGGCAAGATCGCTCTTGGCAGCATGGCGCGATTTCCAACGAGGGGACAACTCCAGTTGCACATTCGCAAGCGTCATCGATACGCCGTATAAATAAGGATTGGGAAGGTCTTGGCAAAGAAAAGGGCTAGGAATATTGGGGGAGAGACTCGTCGAATTTGAAGGAATGTTGAAGAGGTTGTCCCAACAGATAGTGCATTCATTGACTGGTTCCACACTTGGGCCCTGTTGAGGTTTCAGCAACTACAAAAGGCTATTAACAGAGAACGTAATAGCTTCTGTTTTACCATTCGTCTGATTGGTTTGTGAATTATGAGCTTCTACAATAAGTTTGAACCTACATTATGAAAATTGGGCATACCGGCGCTTTTCCGTGCTTTTTTCCATTCCTAACTCTCGCTCCATCTCACTTACAGTCGATATCTCGAAGTCTGATTGGGCGTGTCACCGGAAATGACGTGGCAGCCACCGCACTTGATAGAAGTTGCGCGGATAAGCTGCTTCCAACACGCTTTGCTGATATCTGGCGGAGTATTTTATCCACACAACATCTATCAAGTGCGGTGGCTGCCACGTCATTTCCGGTGACACGCCCAATCAGACTTCGAGATATCGACTGTATACGCTTGCCTATTGAAGAATGTCTTGCCTCTTAAAAATATCAAATTTCGAACTGATTTGAGTCAGCAGAAGAAAAGTTACGGCTGAAAATGCATTTGGCCGAATACTTTTGAGCGCCACCGCATGTTATAGGGGATTGCCTGGGGACACAGGTGGTATGTGATAGGAACTGATAACGACTGGTAATAGCCCATAAGAGGGGCTTAAAAGCGACATCGCCGATTTCGTTTGTCGTCATATTGTTAAGTTCCATACTGCAAGTGTCATGTGGGGTGGGACGGGGACATTGTTGGTGAATGGTTGGAGGTGATTGCAACTTATAAGGGCTGATAAGGCGCGTCAGAACGCAAAAGTTGTCAGTCCCATTACGTAACTCGCGTTGACACTGGAGCGTCCCAATTACAAATTCTATTTGTGTGCTACGTGCAACATAGATTTGAAGTACTAGCTTGACAATCTGACAGCATTTAAAGCAACAGTCCAGGCAGGGTTTCAACTACTTGGTCATTAGGCGGTCAAAACATGCCCCAGCCCAACTAAAGTTTATAGGAAATGTCTTTAAGTTCAAAACCTACCTCTAAAATGCGCTGGAAGGGGTCGAAGTCCTCTTGGAGGGGGCGGATCACCCATACCGAGGCGGATCGCTCAACATACGCTGTGCAGAGTCCGTGCTTGACTAGCGGTCGTTGCGGGACCGCCGCGCTGTATGAGGTCGATTCCATAAGAACGCAATTGAAGCGCTTCAATTTCGATTGCTGGCAAATAGTTATGTATTTGCAAGCATGCAGCTATTTGCCAGCAGTTGCAATTGGAGCGCATGTACTACGGGCAGGTTCGGACAACTCGTCCAACACACGTCTCCCTAAACGGCAGGGGGAGTCCCTGTCTAAGCCCCTGCCCGACGTTTTTTTCTACTTTTTCTTTCTCCATTGACCAACTTCTCACCTGCAACGTCATTATAGGTGGTCCTTACCCGCGAATTCGTTCCTGGATTGTTGCTTTAATAGAAGTCGGTTGCATAAACTCAATCAAGTCTTCAGCAAATGATAAGTTTCATTTCTATCAAGAAAGCCCAAACTCATTAAACCGCTAATCCTTTCGGGGTTCTAAATAATGGTGAATGTAAATAAATGATAAGCCTTAGCTCCTCACTTATGTAAATAGGCATATTTCATTTTCATTTTGAGACTGACAGCAATCCTATTCACCTAAATTATCTGAATTCAAGAAGAATGCTGGATGTTTACAGTTGTGAGATAAATATGCCAGTTCAGCTCCAGACGTTATCACGCGTATTCTCGATGGACTTCAGCGAAACTGGGAAAGGTCTAACACATTCAATAGTGAGGTGGCTAATGGAGTACCTCATGCTGATATTCCATGGGTCTTTCAGTTTCACTAAAGCCTGCCGTGTGATGCGCGCGATAGCGGGCGGAGCAAAACTGGTTTAGGAATAAGTCACGAAAGCGCGAGAAAAGAAAGGGATGACCTGAATGGGACGCGTTACCGTGTCGCAACTTCAGAGGAGTGCAAAGTAGGACGCTTATCGCGCTACGCTGTGGTTGATATGTTAAAGTGTAATAAACTGTTATTTCATAACTTATTTATTTATACTTATCTAGATAATCATGGTTCTTTACCGGAGATCGAGCAGTTAACGGAGAAGCTGGATAGAATGGAGGAGGACATGGCTCAAATGGCAGCCACAATCCAGAGGTGGTGAAGTTTTCATAAGTGCTTTTTGTTTATGGGTTTCCTAATTATTTTGTGATCTTTGTTCCGATTAAGGATGACAACACAGGGTCCACAAGTGGAGCCAGTTGCAAAGCCCAAGCAGTACGAAAGAAAACAGTACCACAAAGAAGAACCTGCGAATCCAAGAAAAAACGCTCCAGACCAAGATCAAGGTGGGGTTGTTGATGCGCAATGAAGTGTCTGATCCTCGGTGGAGGCTCCAGCTTCCAGTTTTGTCTTATTTCTCCTTAGGGATATCACTTTTCAGACGGTACCGTTTATGCCTATGTCAGCGAAAGCGAGGTAGCTACGCTGGCTACAATAAATGCACAGAATATGAACCGGTTCGTGCTTGATTCTAGCACCCTGGTCTAAGCAAGACAGCACTGAGGCAAGGAATCAGCCTATTAATCAACGTCGTGACCAAGCAAAGATTGATTTCATCAAAGAGGTCAGGTGAAATTTGCGACAGTTTTTCCACTACACGGACAATACTCAAACTTCTGACGATTTCAGACTTCACATTGCTAATAAAATTTGATTTCCAGTGCTTCTTCAAACACTATAAAGTACCTGAGGCTTTCCGCAAGCAAATGTGGAATGACAGAGTCCAATGTCTGAATAATCGCGCATACCACACGAGAAAAGCAGAAGAGAAAAAAGCAGAAGAGGAGAGCAGGTATTGGGTCTGAGCAAATAGCCCACTATCTGTTAGAATTCAGACTTGGAGCCTGTGACTGTGTGGACGTACATATATGACTAATCATAAGAACATTCAACCTGAATTGTGCTCTTTGTGTTTGAATCATATTTGCGCTGCATTGTAATAAACTATTCACATGAAGCATGCCACGTTCAACTCAGATAAGCTGCTCAGAAAAGCTGACACTGGGAAATCAATCAGTCCGTAGACGCTTCAGTGATCTGCTGAAGTGGAAGAGTCTGGAAAAGCAAAAAAAAAATTTAAAAAAAACTTGAGATCACGCTCTAAATGAGGACCTTTTCTCAACTGCATTTCACTTGGGATGGGGGAGTTTCGGGCGATTCTCACGAGCCTAGCTCCAGCTGCTTCAGTACAAGACATTTAGCCGTAATGCAACCGCTGCCGCAACTGCGCACACACTTTGCTCCAGCACCATGTGGTAGCAGACAACGAAAGCCGGGCTTGTGGACGAGCCTTTTGACATCAGTGCTCGTCCGCTACGATGGGGATCGAATGGGCGATTCTTAGAAGGGAAGGGGAGCGTGCCTCCGGACCGTGCCTTTAAAATTAATTAACTTCCTATAAGCCCCCGGGGTTCCCAAGTCATTTTGAACTCCTTTTATCAAGATCGCGAGGTGGTTAATATGCATGGGCCTTCCATAACCAAATAATGGCACTAATCAACGAGCACCTTTATTTTGATGATCAAAATATAGAATATAATATAGGAATATATCAGGATGGTAAAAGCCCTGAGTTTCTTGACATTTTTTTGCTTTTATTTTTTTGTGTTCAGCTTCGAATGGAATTTAGTCAGCAATATTATTCCCATTTTTACTCGCTATAGCGTCCCATCTAATGAGCAGGTTAGTGATCCCTTTCTCCTAGAACTGGGGAGATTGTGTGTCAGAAGAAATCGACACTGTCCTTTCACGTCGCAACTTTGGTGATTTTCTTCGGTGAATGCTTGGGGTGGGGGAATAAGTAATAGTCAGAGGGAGCATTGTGGGGGGAACGGGGAGGGCGGGGAACCATCGTGTCCCCGTTTAGCTCCCCCATTTTTGCCTGGGTCTCTTCAGCTTGGGCTACTGGCACTTACCTTGGCCTCTGCAATATGACTAAAGTAAAAACTTTCATGCTGAAACGTCTCTACTATTGCTTCTTCACGGTCGATGACTACTCAGTAGCCTGCTCAACACAAGAAGAGATGGACGCGTATTTCGACCTAATGAATGAGTAGTTCATACACATCAGGCTAACACGAAAAGCCGTTCGCACCAGATTAAGCCTGTGAGTTGCACTCCCATAACGATGGTATAGAATGTCAAGAAGTAAAAATATTATTTATTTTCGATCAGCGCACCCCTCCAAGCAAAACGAGCAGTAGTTGGCTGACCTAGAGTCTGTTAGTGGGGTGGAACTTCATTTCTTGGAATTGATGGATTAGTTGAAGTTGAGGTTTGAGGAGGTGGTTGAGATTTTTGTCGTACACTGCGGCGCATGATTATAATTTCCCAAAAACTTGAATCTGGGGATGTTTTTGGAAAAGGCTCTACAGATAAATTGTGACACATATAAACGCGAATCTGAATATTAACACGGAAATCCAGTTTGAGAAAGCAACAATTTTTTTATCCTTATTTTTTCGAAAATATCCGCTTTAGCTTCTCCGCTGCATTTTGCTTTTACCCAATCAAAATTTGGAATTATTATCCATTCAAGTTCCTTAGCTTATAGCAAAGGCAAAACCGCTGTCACACTTCCGTAAAAGGGAAATCCTAGCAAAAGAGACGCAGGAATTGTCAAAGTGTCAGCTCCGCTGGAATTTGTCGGGGTGACTTCATAGATGCCGCTTTGTCTCACGTTCATCGACTTGAAGAAGGCCTTCGACTCTGTGGAGACAGAAGCGGTCATCGAAGCCTTGGGCAACCAGGGCGTCCCTACTCAGTACATCAAGATTCTTCGTGAGCTCTACAGCAACTTTACGACCAGAATCTCACCATTCTACAAGGAGGTCATCATCGACGTCAAGAGAGGGGTTCGACAGGGCGACACCATCTCGCCCAAACTCTTCAGCGCCGCTCTCGAGAACGTCATGCGTCAACTGGAATGGGAAGACATGGGAGTGAAGGTCGACGGCCGGCAACTACACCACCTTCGTTTTGCTGACGACATCGTTCTTATAACGCCGAACATCGAGCAAGCGGAGCGAATGCTGGCTGATTTCGACTGCGCCTGTGGTAAGGTCGGTCTGCAGCTGAACCTAACGAAGACGATGTTTATGAGAAACGGATTGGTTCCTGATGCCCCATTCACGCTCAACGGAACGAACATCACCGAATGCTCCAGCTACGTGTACCTAGGTCGGGAAATCAATATGATGAACGATCTAGCTCCAGAGCTGAGCAGGAGGAAACGAGCGGCTTGGGGAGCGTACAAGAACATCGAGGGAGTAGTGAAGAAGACGAAGAACATCCGGCTCCGTGCCCACCTCTTCGATTCCGCTGTCCTTCCTGCCCTAACCTACGCCTCAGAGACTTGGACTCTGCGCAGGCAGGACGAGCATGCGGTCAGCGTTATCCAACGCGCTGTCGAGAGGACGATGCTAGGAGTAACCCTATACACGCAAGTGCAGAGGGGAATCCGGAGTTCCGAACTACGCCAACGATCGAAGATCAGGGACGCTGCCGTTTTCGCCAAGGAATCGAAGATAAGGTGGGCCGGACACGTCATGCGATTTTGCGATGACCGTTGGACCAGAGCGGTTACCGACTGGATCCCTCGGGACGTCAAACGAACACCTGGACGACCGCCGGCCCGATGGTCAGACTTCTTCACGAAAGCTCTGAACGAAAGGAATGAAGGACACCGTGTCCCTCGAGCGAGGAGGGTCCACTGGACAACTCTTGCACGCGACAGGGACGAATGGAGACGTTGCTGGCGCCCGCTCGAGCAATTCGATGATCAACGGGACGACAGGTGATACAGGTGATACAGGTGAACTTCATAACGAGCAAATTTCTCAAGGATGCTACAGGATATGACTGGGAGGAACCCTGATTACTATCCGACTGAGATAAGCGCCGTATCGTGAGAAATGATATCCAGCCGGGTACTAAAATTGTAGGTGGAACTATAATTATGCGTCGCAGTGTATATTCACGACCGTCTCTTAGGCTGTGAAGTAAAAATATTGAGGTGTCCACATTCTTTTATAACGTACTGTATTACAGTGGCACTCGCTTCCAACATTTGCCGCGTGACGAGTGGATCGAACCGCCCCTCCCCCCCCCCAGGGTAAAGCGTCATTGGCCCAAGTCAAACGCGGGATTGAGGGTCGTCTTCCGGCGAGGCTATGCGTCAAATATAAGTGGAAGTGATGTTTTTTATGGAACGATAGTGGCTTTGTAACGGCTGGGCTTTGGGTGAAAATGGTGTGAAAATTTTGCCGGTCATGTTCATATATATCTCCCCCGCTCGACGGTGATTTGGTAATTTTGGAAGGAGAAGTGGGCGGAGTTGGGCTGCGTTGACTGGTCTCAGAATCAAATACTGCAGAATTTCCCCCCCCCCCCCGGCAGGCGAGGGTGGTGGAGGATGGTCGTTGGGACTTGGCCCCGTGGGGTCGTATCGAGCCCCTCCAGAGGGGGAGGGGGTCGTAAAATTTTCGCAATTGGTCCAACGTGAAGGTTGTCCTTGCCCCCCCCCAACCCTGATTCTTTCCGCGACAGAAAAGTTGTAGAACATCGAAGAAAGTTCGAGAAAAAGCGTAACTGAGCTAGAGTAAATGCACAGAGCAAACTTGTGAATTGCTGGGTTGATCCTGAAGATGATACCTATCGACATAGAATACAAAGAACGATTTTATTGAAAAATTCTAGCATTGAAACACATTCGCTCTTGAAAGCCTTTTTTCTGACAGAAACATTGATCCAATATGAATCGATCGATCACAGGAAACCACAAGAATAACAGTTTTTTATCCTCCGTAACCCAAGAATACGCATTCTGGAACATTTTTATCCACGGTGCAGTGTGATTTTCTGAGGTTTCCCATTCAGTTGGATATTCTGCCCATTGCCAAGGAGGAATGACCTGTAACGACGGAGTATCTCACGGATAAGGAATTGAAACAACTCCTCAAAATGTAAGTGTGTCGAGCAAACCTGTCTGAGTGAGGCATCATGGCCAAATGACGCCCATCCTGGCTACAGATAGCTGCCACCGCGTCCTCGGAGCCATTCGGATTCCATGGGTACATCATACTTGGGTGGCCGTCTCCGTCCACATAGCGGACCGCAATCTGCCCGGAATTTCGTAAAGTCTCAAAGACGTTAGCGTTACGGTAGGTGAAACGACCTGAAGTATTTCGATTGCATAAGAGCTGGGAACACCTAAGGAGATGTTGGAACACTTGCCTTCACCATGAGAGCTCCACAAACCCAGCACCGCTCCTTCCATCCCTCGAAGCCAGATTGATGTGGAGTGCTCAACCCTGACCGGACCAAAGACGGATTCGAATCGACCACAGCGATTTTCGGCAAGGAACACCGATGGCGAGCCTTCTAAAGCGGAGCTGATTGAATAGAAAATCGCGCCTATTGAGAACGCTTGCAAAATCAACACGCACCAATGGATTGTTTATCGGTCGTCTAGGAAGGCTAAAGATTATGGGAAAACCTCTCAGTGCGGTAGATTCGTGAACTCCAGGAGAACAATCCCAGTTTAGGCTGAACCTGGGGTATTTTGTGTAACAGTTCAGGAAAATTTTGCAAACAGGTGAGACTTAACGCACTAGCCATTGTTTGTGTCTTTCACTACATAGAAAATATAACAAATTTTTTTTGCTCCGCTTCAGTGCTCATAAGGATGGTATACGAATGTGCGCCTGTGGTCCGGCGATAACTCAGAGACGCAGAACGGTTAGTGGGCGAGTTACAGCGCGTACTGTAGCAATTTGGCGTCAAATCAAATAAATATATTATAGCACATCTCCACACTCGCAGCAGTCACGGCTCGTTCCGGCTGATATCGCATTGTGTTTCCGCCTTCCTCGCCACGCGTCGGGGCATTCTACGGGTAGCTAAGTAGTACTGATGAGTAGAAGGAGAGATGGTGCGCATCCTTCTCGGGCACATCTTCACTCATCGTAGCCGGTCATGTATTCGCGAATACCGTGGCTTAGATAGCTTTCATGGCACTCCGCTCTGGGAGCCTGCTTGGCACCAACCTATCGACCAGTCTCAATAGTCCGTCAAAAAAAACTTTTTGAGAGGTAGTAGCAAATGTGTTGACAGAGAGTTGCTTTGGGAGGGCTGGAGGACTCCTTCTCAAGACGCTATCCAAATGTATTCGAGCAAAAATTCGAAAAGCGGGGTTTTTCTAAATTCCCCGACTCTCTTTGGAGAAGTAGTAATAAAGCGGCAAGGCTGAGAGCGGGGGCTGCCTAGCTCTAGGTTCGGAATGACCGCTGACGGCATTTATTTCATTAGGCTGTTGTTCATGAAAACTCCACCCTAGCCGCAACTTGAATTATACCCCCAATTTTAGATTCAAACCTACCGTATTCGCCTATCCATCCCAGATGGGCCATCAGCTGACAGCCGTTGCACACACCAAACGAGAGAGTGTCGGTCCTATTACGAAAACGTGTGAACTCCAGGCGAACCGAAGGATTATAACGAATCGCCGCTGCCCAGCCTTAAAAAGAGTCACCTCATATAAAGAAAAAATATCAAAAAAGCTGTTGAAATAAATGCTCCAGCGAATTAAAAACGGAAGTTTAGGCCGCCAAAATACAACAATTTGGCAAGAATGCTGGGTTGTGAACAAAACTTTCGCCCCAGGCGGGACTAGAACCCGCACCTCTCGTTCAAAAAATTTACTTGTTGTTGACAATCAAAACAGGTCAACAACAATTTGATTTGATCTTTTTGAACGTACATATTTATTTCGCTATATCTCGGACTGAGGTTAATATTATTCTAACAGGTTTCCATTCACGACAGCCAAAATATTTTGCCTACCAATACAAAATGCCGTCAAGTTCCCAAGTGATGCCCAAATCCCTCCCATAACACTCTTCTTCAATCCCCTATTGGGGAACCATGATTGCTGAACTCCACCCATATTACTGCCAACCTCATAATCTTTTTGTAAACGTCCCCCCCCTAAGGTCGCATTTCTATGAGATTGTAACGGGTGTCCCCCAAGAGGCCCGTCGCGCGGAAGGACGAGTCGCAGCGCATACTGTAGCGGTTAGGCGTCAGGTTAAAGAGAGTGTACCATACTACGTCTCATATCGCACAGCACGCGCTGCGACTCGTCTTTGCCGCATCTGCGTCTCTTCCTTCGCCGCCGCGTGACGAGCCTCTTGGAGGACACCCGATTGTAACCCGTGCAGAAGTGTCAAAAATAACGCCATGACACGTACACTCACTAAATGCAACGCACCATAAAGAAGCGATTCAAGCTAAAGCACTTATCGAAGCAAGTCTCAGAGTTTTACTGATTACCAAACGCTGAACAGTAATCTCAACAGACCTTTGGCCGAACCGAGCACATCAGCATAGGAGAACCCGCCGACAAATGCAACAACCCTGAAACGACGCCTGTACCAGAACAGTTGTGGAAAAATAAGAAGAGCTGCTAGATCAAACCTATACGGATCAAGTTTGTGTCCAGCTAGAAGATCTGTCATGGTGACGTCATGCGGTTCGAACCCGGCTAAAGCGAAAGCGGCCGCCATTTCACGATCACCATTAGAGCCTTCTTCTCGAATAATCGCCACTCGAGGCGCTAGAAAAATTGAAGTCAGCTGACAATTTCCACGAAAGAATAATTGATTTACGAGTCATCAATACGGATTTCATTCCCATCAGGTATGGTAGAGGGTAGGGTGCTACCCATTCGAATGGAGCAGAGTACGACACAGTTTTTGTGGTCGTTCGTACCTGAAAAATTTATCAATAAATATCGGAGCCAGTTGAGCCGCGGGTACTTCAAGGTACTTTGGCAGTATATTTAGCCGCAGTTACTGTGAAGTCACCTGTTTGGCCTCCTCCAGGCAATTGGCGTTTGTCTGCATTAACCCTAGACGATCGGACGTTTCCCTCCCAAACCTCCGCAATGCCACAAGGCCTTCACTGATCACAACTTCATCATTTAGGATTATTTCAATCTGAAACAGCTTTTCCTCGAACGATAAGGAGGGAAAATAGAAGGCCGTTTATACTAGGCTGATGTCA